ATATCCCCAAAGTGGCCTTTGTCTCTAAGAGTCATGATGAACTTTGCTAGGTTTGTTTGTTTTTGAAAGCGCGTATTAGTCCTGGATGTATTCTCGCCATTTTATTAGGCAAACTGCAGGCAGCGTAATCATACATACTCTATCACGGGGAACTTTTTCCTGTGTACAGCACCACAGATTTTGGTAAAATCAGTGCTTTTTTTGTAAGAAAAAGGGTGCCAGAACTCATGAAATTATTTACCTTTCACACATAGTCAATCACTACACACACACACACACACACACAGGTCAGTTATGTAACGAAACGTAACGATCGCCGCCCGCAGTAAGCACTCAGCACGTGACCACACGACCAGTCATAAGCCGAGCAGCGCCACAAGCTGAGCAGTGCCATCACGACCAGTGTGGACAAAGCACGCGTGCATCGGATTCGACACACAAGCAGCCCGCATGCACCGTTTTAATGATTTTGCCGCCGACCTGCTACACTCAACGGGGCGATTCAAATCCACGTGGACCAAACATCAAATTTTCAAAAGTTACTTTTAAAACTTGGAAAATCTGTTGAAAAAAGGTGCTGGAACTCTGTTACGGTGTGTTCTATGACAAAAAAAAAAGCACTGGGTAGGATACATTTTAGGTGGCATGGCAGCATATAGACCCATACCATGCAAAATATACAATCCAGCATTTTGTTGAACTAGAGACTGCTTATGGCTCTTTCCTAGTCCCACCAACCACTTGCAAGCCACTTAAATTTTATTTATTTAAAGCTGAAATCCCTGCATGCATTAGCATTCTAGTTCTGGCTAATCTATTTTTGGAAGAACTTTCCTAACACCTTTTGAAAGTCTAGAGAGCCCAAAATAGACCCCCTAACATTGAAAGCCCTACCTCCTGATTTTGCAATGAAGCTATGATAATATGGATAACCAAGAGAACCAGTCTTTAATATGCTAAATAGGCCACCTCTTTCTTCAAGCATCTAATAAGGTGCTACTAGTGAGTGAGTCTTCTGACTGAATGGAGGATTTTCAACCTTTTCTGAATGGGACTGCTCTCCCTTTTGCAGCTTCAAGGGTACTGGATTGGATCCATACTTAAGTTAGTCATTGTTAACTTATACCCATCTGATTTCAATGGGTCTACTGTACAAATGGCTTAGTTTAGATCTTACCCATTGTATGTTGCAAATAAACACTGTCAGTTTATTGAGATGAGGGGGAGCAGAAAACAAGTAGGGAAAGCTTCCATAAATTTTAGATGCCAATTTGTTTTGCTTTAAAAAAAAGGAAGCAAAAGTGCTTTTCTTAATATTGTGGTCTTCTAACTTGCATTACTATGGATCAATTCTCATTACAAATATTAAAAACCCTTATGTCTATGGATTCCCAAGCTGTATGGAGAAAATCTTTTTTCAAAATTAGAGCATTTAATTGCAAGTGATGATACATGTCAGTGGTGGTCTCATGAGGCTCCCAGCTGCAGCTTCTGAAGAAATAAATGTCTGTCTAATCCTGATGGCCACTTTGCCAGAAATTATCCACTTTTGTTTGTTTACAGATACACAGCTGCTAAGGTGAATTGTACCATTTGTACCTTTATGTAATAATGCAACAACTGTAACAATGGCTTTCTTCTATCTCTTTTAGATACTTGTCTTTTATCTGTTACTGTACATATAAGAGAATAGTTGACCTTTTGGGGGGTTGTTGATTCCCAATTTTATATAACATGAAGGCAGAAAGGAGGATTTCTTTTCAGGTGTTAGGTTCCTTTTTCTGGGAAGGAATTGAAAGCTGCTTACATAATCTTCCTCCTCTTGCCCAATTTGTTCTCATAATGACCCGGCGAGGTAGGTTAGACTTATTCAGTGCCTGCCCCAAAGTCACCCTGTGAATTTCATGGTCAAGCAGGATCTAGAACCTGGACTCCCTGAGTCCCTGTCTAACACTCTCATCTCATCACTATCCCGGTCTGGCTCTTTAATGTTTGCATTGAATAGTGGTACCTCTTCCCTCACCCCCCTGTTGTGAGCTGAGCTTCTCCCTCCCAGCAGTAATAGTTTCACCAGCACTTTGCAAAATTTCTTTATTTTCTATGCAAGTCTCAGGGCATGCACAAAGTGAAATGTTGAACCCTTTCTGACATTCTTCACCCAAACCTTTCCTTCTAAATCTTTCTGCATCTGTCCCTGGGGAGAGGAGCACTGTGGAACCAAACACACTGGTGTTCTTCCCTCAGAGACCCTAACTGGGCCACCCTACAACTGTGATGACAGACGGTTGGGTCCACCTTCTCAGGAGTGGAGGTTCCCCATCCAGTAAACCCTCCATCTCTAAATCTCTTCCCTCTGGATGTTGTTGCTCTTCCCCATGCCCATAGACTGGCCCCTTTCTACTGTTCCTGAACCAATTTCCCTCCTAGCAGGCACAGGTTGGTACCCAGGGCCTTGGACTGCAGCAGGATCAGGGACTGTTTCAACAATCATGTTATCATTCCTGCCAAAATGGTTTGCCTCTCATGTGCACACCTGAGGTTTACCAGAATGCTTGTACACAACATCCCGTTTTATTCCACTTAGATTCTCTCTTGTATTATGTCAGGATTATACATCGTGCATGTGCCAGGGAACTCTGGTTTAATCTTGCTTGGCAAATCAAGAAAATTATCCAGGATGGGATAAGGAGAAGGACATCAGAGGGAATATTCAGCTCTAGCACATGGTCTCTGTGTCATAATCCCTTGCTTTGGTAAATTTAATCAATGGGATTCAATTTGTAATTGAGACTCATAGTGCATTTTTTCCCTAGGTACATTGTTTTTAATTAGGTTTGCCAAAAGTCACAGAGAATGCACAACCCATGAAAGGGAGTTTTCAGACATTAAACTGAATCTGTATGTGCACTCATTAAAATGTTGGTTAGAAATTAACCCTATTTCCTCTTTCAATTCATGCAAAAATTAGATGTGTGAGGAGAAGGAGTGCTCTCGATTTGTCCTCCATTATAATTTTTTCCACCTCCTGGTGCTCATGGAGGACTGTGGTCTGAGAAGGAGAGCCTCTTACATCTGTAGTGCTTTCTATGCAGTCCATAGTCTTTCATAAGAGTCAAGGAAGAAGGGTCAGAATGCATGCAGTTCACAGCTCATTGTTTATCCACAATCATTACTTCTGTTCATTCTGTCTTCCCTGGTCCTTGCTATGCCAAATATCTTGCAGTTTTCTTCTGTCAGCTGTGCATTGGTCTTCTATTGTGGAAAGGTTGTGCTGAGATACTTATTTTAAAATTATATATTATAATGAAATGTGGTAGGTAGACCCAGTTTTCTCTGCATTGAAAACTTTTCTGGGCTGTACTATTTCCAACTAAATTGCTAGGCAGTCTTCCATTTTATATGAAGGGAACTGCTTGCACAGAAAGTATTCAGTCATATGAACTTCTTCGTGCAGTTTGATATGGTATAACACAGACAGAGGTTTGCCACCTCAGTGAGAACTAGGCCTTCATGGTTTGAATGAAATCTTTAAAAAGAGGTTGTAGTCTGTAATTAGGTGTTCATCTGAAGTATGTATGTAAGCTCTCTGAGTCCCAGTATTGCTTTAGAAAAAGCTTTGCAGAGAGATAATTTAATAGAAGCTCTCTAAAGGATTATTCTTTGCATAGACTAGGATTATGCAGCCCTTTTTTTCAAAAGTATGTGTAGGAGAAGATAATTGCCAATCAATATGATAGTGGGAGTTATTTCTTCATTATCCATCTAGTCATTCTTGTGGGGATGCTCAGCTATTCCTTCAGAGAAGCTGTTGATCTGTCATATGACAAGGTCACATCAATACATTAGGGTTTTAGAGCAGTTATCCTTCAAGTGAAGTCAGGTCATATTGCTTGTCTCAACGGTGATTTTTCCATAGCTTTGTACCACCTCAAATGATTTAAATAGTTGCTTTTGACTCTTAGTGATTGCAAACACATTTCTGACAAAACGAGGAAATGGAACAAGAAAATATGTTCTGCTGTTCCAGACTTATTGCTTTCTGTCAAGGCCTTTGGATGATTATTAAAATCAAGACAGCTGACTCTGTAGTCGGGACAGACATGTCAGGGCTTTGCTGTTTTTACCAATTGATCCCCCTTTTCTGCATTTTAATATGTAATGCTTTCCTTCTCCTTTCTAAGGCTGAGTTTAGTCTAATAGGAACTAAGCTGACTTAGGTCCTGCTGACCTAGCTTGCTTTGATTGGGAATTAATGAGTTCTAACGAATGAATGCAAGCTCTTAGTAAGTTTGTTCCTCTGGGATTGGAGATGTCCTATTCGCTAGAGATCACAACAGTGAATGGGTCACAATAAACAGACAAAGGTAGGTGATTAGTGAAGGACTGCTGTTGAAAGTCTGACTTGCTTGATGTGTCACGGCTGGTCTCCCAAACCTGAGATTCCTCTATTTCTGAGCTTTGGTTTGTGAAGCCCTAAAATACCCAGAGCCTCCACAGGGCCCCAACTGAAATTAGCCTTCCCTGATATTTTAAAGCAGTTTCTCCCACTAGCTAAGCCTGAGCAGTGGTTTAGAGGGTACAGTCTAATCTAGTTCCTAGTCTATTAGGAACTAAGTTGAGTTTAGTTCCCGCTGGCGTTTCCCTCTGCAATTTAGCTCCCAGCTGTAGGTGGGAGTTGCTTTCTTCCCCCTTTTCAAGGCTAGTTTAGGTTCCTAGGAATTCAGTTTGCAGTGTCCTTGTATACTGGAAGCTAGAAGTATTTTGTGCAGGGATGTTAGCAGTTGTGAGAAAACTCTTACAGTGATAGTGTCACGTGCAGTCTTGCAGATGGTATGTAAATAGATCTGTTCATATCAAGGAGCCATTGCTTTTCCTTTGTTGTCTGGCTCTGGTGTGTCATCCTTTAAAAAATGCTACATAGTTAGTGCCCTTAGACTATGTTCCAGTGTTGCTTTTGAATCATAGCACCTTTCCCTCCCCCACCCTTTTTTTTGAAACAGAAAGATGAAAATTACAGAAGCCTCCCACGGGATACAAGTAGCTGGTCTACTAACCAGTTTCAGAGAGACAATGCTCGCTCTTCACTAAGTGCCACTCATCCCATGGTAGATAAATGGCTGGAGAGACAAGAACAGGTAACAAATATGCATATTTAGATAATAATGTAACCTATTGTTTATGCTCATGCCTGCATGCAGACACAAATATATATCTATATTTTAAATTATGCTGGCTGTTGGTGGGGTGGTGGTTATCATTTGAACTGCTAGGCAGCTTTAGAATAACAGCCGCAGCTTATTGGAGTGAATCTCCACAAACTCACACAACTGGCATTTCTGAAATAAGCTTTTCTTACCTACTCAGAGACATATTTTTACACGGTGGAACATTAGAATTTTCGATTTTCCATCTGCAGCCCGAGCCCAAATAGATGCATCACATCAGACGATCATAAATGTACTTTAGATCTTAGAGTGGAAGAGGAATCATGCTGGATCGTCTATGGTTAGCTTGTATTAGTGGGCTCTTGTTTAAAAAGTAATGGCTCACTTGTAGGAGCTAGTTTGCTTCTTAATGCATGAACTTGGGACAAAAAATAGGTGGTAAGACATGAATGATCATAAAGGCCATGCTATCCTTGATCCTAGTGAGAACTTGAGCTGAAAGGCAGTGAGCAGGGGAGAATTGAATGTAGACACTTATTAGGAAAATGATGCATTTATAGGCTCGTAGATTTTGTAGTAGCTTTTTCCAGAATAGAATTAAATAATTCATTTGACATGACAACAACAGCATCTAGTGTTAGAGTTTAATTGCGGATGTTGATGTCCTTTACTTAGCTAGACTATTTTGGACCTCCTGCCACACCCAAAGCCACCAGCCTGAAATGGTGCAATCTACGGACAGATAGATCACGTATCCTATGCTTCAACTTGAAGATGTAGCATCCTACCTACAGTACTATACCCCATCCATTTTCTCCCCATTTAAATGTCTTCAAGAAGCAGCGGGAAACAATATCCTATGATAAATCCTATGCTTACTCTCTGATTTTGAAAATTGACAGGGGTAAAACGGGATCTGTACTGTAGCTCTGGGATATTATGCTTCATTTCACAGAACTGTTGCCCCAAATGAAATTTCTAAAATCCACCACCTATTCCATAGTTAAAGAATTTTTATTGTTACCATTAAATTAAACATTTACTTTTCAGTGCAAGTTGAATAAGGAGTCTTAATAGTCATCTTCTAAGAAAATGCCATCTATTTGCATATTTTAATATATTTCAAATAGATTTGTGTAGAGTGTTATATTGACCCTAAGCTTTTAATAAGACCTTTTTTTAAAAAAAAGCAAAATTACTACTGAGATAGGCAGTGATAACAAAACATGCTTGAATTGTGTTAGTTAACCAAGTGCTCTTTCCTTTCTTTTTTCCCCACCACTCAAAGAATCTTTTTTGTGGGCTTAATAAAAAAAAATCTATTAAGTTTGATGTTAATGAGTCTCCGTGTACCTAGAAAGGAAGGCTCCTTTGGTGATTTCATATCAACGGGATAATTAATTAAACTGAAATTGTTTAACAGGGCATGAACAGTGGAAGCAAGTCCATAATGAGAGCAGAACAGAGCATGGTACTGTTGAGGGTGATGAGCTTTATACAAAACAGACCATGATGCAAAACGAAAATCCCAGTTTCAATCCTATTCTTTCTCCTCCATCTGCTGTATTTGTATCTTTAATGCAGAGAACTCCTCATGCTTCCTTCAACTGTATTTGTCTGGAATTAGTTAGATGGGATTTGGATTACTTAGGGAGTGATCCGCTGGCTCCTAGACTGGACATCTTCTGCATGGCCATAGATCATTCTGTTTCCCAAGTAGGCAGCAGCACTCTGAGGCAGAAGACAGGGTCCCGAGCTTGGAGCTGGGGATTGGTACTCTGATTCCTTCTGGCTCCTTCACAGCCAGCGTGGAAAGACTTGCTTCAGCTACTCTTCGAACTCAGGCCAGTGACCTCAGAAGGGGTAGTTCAGGAAAAAGGAGGAGGCTGGAGAGGCCAGGATACAGGATATTCTGATGGCGCTACAGCCTCTTTCCCTCCCCTTCCAAAGTTCTCCATGCTAGCAGAAGTGCAGATTGGGAGGAGCTGAAGGGCAAAAATCAGCTCTAGTGCTTCTGCCTCTCTTCAGAGTGCCTGTCATCCTGTGTTGTGTGCTCCCTGTCTGACATTCCTGGCAGCTATGGATGGAACAGGAAGATTCTGCATTAACATGGTGGAGAAGGCAACAGGATGGGAGAGTGGAAGCCTCAGGTTCTCCACTAAGTTATTCCCAGATATTTGGCATCCCAAGGTTGAAGTGTCATGCCAGCCATACTGGGTGAGATGAACCATTGAGTCTTCCCTTGGTATAGGGCAGCTTTCTGCTCCAACCACCGCTCTGCAGGAATATTATGGTATATGTTTTTCCACTTCATGTCTATTTTGTGGAAAGGAGGGATAAACCAGATATTCTTTCTTGTGGTTACAGTGAATTTCAGAATCTTCTCAGCAAAAGTGCAGAATCTGCTTGCAGGTTGTGCTATGGCATTAAATAACTCCTCAGTGCCATTAAGAGCAAACCTTATGCATAAAGAAATCTCAGTTGGCTGCAGAGAAGGACTTATTTAGAGAACAGAGCTGGTAATTATTAGAGAAATTGCTGCTGCTTATTTCACAGTGCTGGACTTCCTCCTCTGATAGCTGAAAAGGTATCTGACAATGCATCCATGTTCTTTTGTCCACTCCCCCATATATTATCACAATTTCCAGTAATGTGAAATAATGAGCAGCCCTTCTTTTAAAACTCTGTGAACTAAAGTCACATTTGTACTTGCTGCTTCGAAAGCTGCACTTGAATATTAGGATCAGTGTGCCTTTATTTTGTAAAATGCTCCTCAAAGTAGGGAGGATGAGATGAAGCTTTTTGGTCATTATATTCATAAAATAAGGCAAGCTAAATTTGCTTCTGAGATTGAACATCCAAATAATATACTTTTATCCATTAATTTCCAGAATAACTGTGTTCTACCTAAGTCATTGATGCATACAATTTTATGGATGTGTTCCTGGAATTATGTTAGTTTTGTACAATAGTGCTTAATTCTTCAAATGTAGTTTTGCTCTTGTTGTTAATAAGGAAACAAACTTAATCAGGGTTTGTTCTTTCCTGTCTGAAATCCTGGAGAGCCAGGGCCAATCAATGTCATCAGCACTGGGCTAGATGAACCAGTGGTCTAACAGAAGGCTGTGTCCCCATGCCTATTATTAAAATAATTTTTTTCAAGATATAACATTTTGCCAGCCACATACATAATGATGAGTTAAGTTAGCCAAACATTGAGATGATTCATTGAGCAGATAATGGATAATAGATAATGATTGTCATAATATCCTATGTCATTCTCTCCTAGCATGGACAGGAAAAAGAATCTTAGTTATGATTTATTTATTTAGTAAACTTCTATGCTGCCCCATTCGCCAAAGCCTTGGGGCGGCTCACAGACATAAATAAACTTTGTTAAAATAATATAAATTCACAGTATAAATTAAGTCACTCTGGCCAAAGAATAAAATAAATAAATACTATTAACAGTTAAAATGACATTTGAATGAAAAGTGAAACAAACTCAGGTATGAAGCTGACGTGTTTTATCAAACCATATTTGATATTAACCATAGATTATAGTTCAGATGAAATGCTAAACTATAAATAACCCTAAACAGAAAACTTCTAAGTCTCCTCTTCAGAGAGGAGAGAAAAAGGAGGGGGCCTAGTGTGGGTTTGGGGCCTTATTACGCTAAACCAGGTGTGGGCAACTTGAGGCACTGCAGATGTTTTGTCCTTTAACTCTTATCATCCCTCACCACTGCCCTTGCAGACTAGAACTGATAGTTGTGGCCAAAGCATCTGGAGAGCCACCATAGCCAACCCAGTGTTCACCCATGGCTTACTAGCAGTAAACCAGCTTACTTGGCTTGATACACAATCAAAAAGGTTTTTTTTTCCAGTTCATTGTTTCATTTTATAGAATATAAATCGAAAATAAATAAATTTTCATGTCTTTTTGTTTATGCTGCAAACTTGTACAGCTGTACAAATTAGCACCATCTTGCTTCTTTAATGATATGAATAAGAAACTGCTTATTCCTTTCAAAATAGTTTTGAACTCTCCTTGAAAGTGATAGACATGAAAATCCTTTCCATCAAACTGTAGGGACTTCACCAAGTCACCTTGGATGTAACTAATTAATTATCTTGACAGTCTTCCATGGAGTTCAGGGCATTGTACAGTATCCTATTCTGTTATCCTTAAATAGTTCTGTAAGGTATGATACAGTAAGAGATTGTGAGTGGTTCAGGGTGAATTTGGTGGTTGATTTCATCCAGGCCTCTATGCTTTTAACACCACAGTAGCTTGTGTTACTTCAAGACATAGAGAGAAGGTCAGTACTACAGTGGTCATACTACCAAAGGGACACAAAGTAAGCTGGGGTAAGCACATCAGGTACTGTAAAGGATGATAAGAGTGAGTTAAAGTAAGTTTCCACAGGTAGGGCCTAATTTATGACGAGTTCTTTTCATTTTAGACCTGCCACTTCTTTTTTCTCTTCCACACTTGCAGCATCTGGCAATAATTGAATAAAATCATAATCTCTGTGTGATTTTGCCAGTCTCTGCCTGCATCAGCAACACCATCCGATGTACTGATACAATTACCATTAGCTTCATGAAAAGGGAATTCACTTTTTGGGATTTGTTTGGGAGAAATGAATAGACATTTGAAAAAAGATTAACCTGATTTAATAACAACAACCTAATCTTGTTGGAGACATGGATTTCGATAGTTATTTTTTCATTATGCCACTTTACAAAGTTTCAAGCAAGATATTAGGTAAGAATAACTTCTCTGAGATATCCTATGAGTACTACAATCATACTTCTGTCTCACTTGTTGCTTGCGTTAATGTTGGCATGCGCTGCAGTGCTTGCATTAATCTCTGCATTAAAATGTGAGAAATTAGGTTGACATTTTGATGCATTCTCTCTTTGAGGGCTCAACTTCTGTTATTAAGTGTTGAATGCAGTAGGCCATGGGTACATGGCAAAATACATTTTGAAGCTTACTGTCTAGAAAGCATATTTAAATGCTAGAAAACATTTTCATGGAATACTAAAATGTGCAAATAAGAAAAAAGCCCATTGGTAGGCAGCATGCACATAGTGCTTGTAGACTGTATAATCTGAACCGAGACATTTCAGTACTTATACGAAAAATGGGTAAAAGGAGAAAATCTATGAGCTAGAGAATGAAGCTTAAAGAGTAAGATGCATTTAAAAAAATAAATAAACTGATATAGAGAAGTACACAATTTGACTAACATTCCTGGGTATACTGGATGGCTTGTTTGTTTCCATGCTGCACTGAAACCAGAGACAGTCCAGAAAATCGCCTTGGGTGTATGGTGCTAATAGTGCAGTTGAAATGAACAGAACAAAACTCTGTATTTTTTTAAAACATTTGTATGCTGCCGTAGCACCTCTGGGCAGCTCACAGTCATAAGATATATAAGTCATAACTTACGATATCACTTTGATATAAGTTATGATAGAAGTTAAAACTCAAAACTATAATTTGTTTTGTTTGTGATGTACAAACAAATAGCAGGGGTGATGTACACAAAGAAAACACAGTTCAGTGTGCAGCCTCCATGAACAGGCTATAAATGTTTCGTATTCTGGATCCCAAAAGTGATAGTGATTTATTTCATATTTATAAATGTGGGAAAAAAACTATCGAAGGATTAGGGGAACGATATTGATGCATATAAGTTACAATAGGACCAGTGCCACAAAATACTCTTAATACAATGGCTTGATTTGAAAGACGCTCTTAAGGAGTTAATAGAATGGTCAGTTAAATATTTTTCATTATTGAATGTGAAATATGAACAGAAAGTCCCTAGATTATAGGTTGCTTAGATTTTGCTTTTGTTTCTGTTGTATGCCTCATACTTCTCATTGGAGGCATCGTGAAGCTGGCGGCATCTGGTTACTAGCTGTATCTAGTTTCTGACGCTGGACAGCATCTAGCAGTATCTGTGTAATCTGAATGTTACACTGGTATTGGTGATTCTTTGAAGGTGTCTATTCATGATGTCTAAGGGCACTAACAGATAAATATACTGAGTTTTTCACGATTTATAACCCAGTCCTATAAAATTAATTTCTTCATATCTAAAATTATTACAAACTCATCGCTCCTCAGATGGATGAAAGCCCAGTGGGACTGCAGTGAAAATGTGGCCTAAATGAAGAGTGAGTGAATGTTGTTGAATTGTGCCCTTAATTACTATAGTGCCAAACTAATGCGTAAGTGAAATACATTAGTAGAATTAAAATTTTGTCTTTTATTCCCTTGGTGGGTAATACAGTTAATGAATATAGATCTGACCAAATTAAGATAATTTATTTCAATGGTTTACATCACTGTAAAAGTTTTAGTGTAGCACCAAGCTTTCATGCAAACTTTAAATAGGAGTAGTCCTTCTATCCACTTCAAATATTGTGAAGGTTAAAAGTTTTAAGTGTATTAAAGCAATTTACTTAATTATGTCTATAGAGGATATTATTTTGTCTGCTATGGATCACTTCATTTACAGTTCACCATACTAGCCACAGGCCGTTGTCAAAGATAGGTTTAGGGATGTTTTCACCAGTGGTTTGTGTTGTAGTAGGGGTGGCGATACTTGCTCAGCAGAAGAGCCATGCATAGTAAATGTCAGAGATTTGAGACATGAACAAACATTTATTATTATTATTATTATAACATTTCTATGCCGCCCCTTGCCGAAACCTCGGGGCGGCTTACAACATGATAAAATACATTGAAATACAATAGTACATAATAAATTACCATTAAATATAAAAATACAAAAAATACATTGATTTACAAATACAAAATTAAAATTATCAGTATAAAATAAAAATATAGGAGGAGAAAGAGAAGGAAGAAGAAGTTGCCCAGGCCAGATCATATGTTTTAACAATTGAAATGATGTTTAAATAAAAAGGTCTTTACCTGGCACCGAAAAACCAGTAACGACGGTGCCAGGCGGACCTCTTTGGGGAGTGAATTCCATAGGGTTTATTTATTTATTTGTTTATGTAGACCCTATGAAAGTGTGTTCTTACTTACCAGTGTATGATTTTTTTAAATTGTGCATGTTAAGATGCAGAAATACCTGGAGCAATAACTGTGGGATATCCTTCCAAAGAAATGGGTCCTTAGAAACAAGAACTGCTCAAAGCAAATGTCATGTTAATCAAAAATATCAGGAGTTTTGTTGTTGTTTGTTTGTTTTTGTTTTACTGTTGTCACAGACAGAATCCTGAGAATTACGCTTTAGTGAAAAGTGCTAAGAATTGTTAGATTCTAACTTGAAGACCATGTCCTATCAGGGACCTTTGAGGAAGCTACAGAAGGGACAAACAACAATACAGTGGCCATCTGCAGGGACTTTCACATAAACAATACAAATTTTCTTTGACATTGTAACTAGTCCGCACTCGGTCCACATTCAGGAAAAGGATCAATATATCTCTTTCAAAGTCAGCAGTGTAGGGCATGTTAAGATGAGCTCTCCTGAGACCACCAGCCTGACTTGTTCTTTTTCAAGCCTAAGATGGGGCAGGTGGTGCATGAGAGGTTGTTACTTTTGGTCCCTCTTCCCTTCCTACCCAGTTGCCTCATGCTTCCTTCAAAGGCCTGAAGGAAGAGCTTGGGATTGGCCTGAATCTGTTCCATCTTCAGCTTCTTCACTGGGGTAAGGTGGCAGCTGAGGTGGCTGCCATTAAAGACACCCAATAAACACCACTACTGCTACCAGAATAACCTCTGGTGCCTCCAGTAGCGCCACTGGATTTGCTGTCTGGACCAGGGGTGAAGGTAGAAAGCACCTTTGTGATCATCAGCAGGAATGGGTGGGGAATGTTGGGGTAAGAATTGCGATAAGAGTTGCTTGACCTTCTGTACCACTGCCTACCTCAGAAGAGGTTTTCATGCTTGGTTCCACAAACCCAAGTGGGCCTCCAAGAACAGAGGGATTTAGGGTTACAGCTTTTGCTTGATGTGGGGATTGGACACTCTTTTCCAAACCCTTCTAAGATTGTTGACTTGGATTCTGATTTAAAAGTAGATGAAGACAGTGGAATTCTGAACTTATGTGTGACGGCCACAGGCTAGGGATAAGCCAAGCAAGCATGGAGACTCAGTTGCGAATTCTGTGGGAAAGTTTAGTGAACAAACTGATATGGGAGATCAGACCAACATCATTAATTTGTTCATATTAGGTTAAAACTGATTGTACAGGAACACTCCTGAGAAAGATATTTGTTCAAAAGATACATTAGGGTAAATGAGCTTGTTTTCTTATCCTTGTGAACCTGTTTCTCTCCCTCCCTTTGCCCCCACTCTCTAAAAAAGGGGGGCATTAATTTGAACCACACGCTGTTGGCTTCAGTGGCCTGTTCCTTATTACTAGAAGGAAAGTCATAATTCTTTTCTCATGGAAGTATACCTGGAATGCTGTTATTTATACATTTTAGCACAGGAACCTATACTATGCAAACACCACTATGTTTGAATAATTCCTTCGGAGTTCTCTAGTCCTGGGTTTTCTGTTTCTCAGTTTATCAGTTCAGGGAAGGGGAAGGATTTTGATCCAATAAACATTTGATCTAATAATATTTCTCATTACTCTGATTACTACTTTTAGTATAGGCACTGGAAACTAAGACCAAAATTTTGTAGGAAGTAGCATTGTCCACCGATAATAAAGCAACTGTTGTATGGAAGGACCGAAGCTTAGCAGTTCCCTTGATAAGGATGGAAGGTGTCCTGGTGGCATACACAACATACCTGTGGTTAAGGCATTGCCACTTACTTCATGGTATCTAGCCAGCTAATGAGAGCCCATGTGGTGCAATGGTTAAGAGCACAGGTCTGGGACTCAGGTGATCTGGGTTCTAGTCCCCGCTCAGCCATGGAGTCAATTTGGTGACTTTCGGCCAGTTGCAGAGTCTCAGCCCAACCCACCTCATGGAATTATTGTTGTGGGGATAAGACTGAGAGCAGCAGGAGGAGAATGATGTAAGCCATTTTGAGCTCATGGAGAGGGGATGGGATATAAATCAAATAAACTGTATATAAGCTTCTAATAAGTGAGATCTAGAAAGACTAGAAAACAGTAGTTCTAAGATGTAGAAATAAGTTAGCTGGCAATGTTCAGTTGATCTTGACGATGACCAGTGGGGGTGAACAACAGAGCAGAAGCCACTCTGTGTTGATACTCTGGCTAACTTTCTCTAACACCTGATAATATTTATGGTGCAAGTTGGAAGCTAGTTAAAGGGGCCATTTGGTTCTGTTCAAAAAGCATTCTTAGGCAGTGATGCTACCAAATGGAAAAAGATATGAGCTGATTGCACTTTCTACTTTTAAACACAGAAGAAAGATTTTAATAATATAGTATAACTATATTATAGAAGGTTTGCAAATTGAACACCATTAATAGTTGGAAAGTTTCTCCATCCACATGCTGCCTTGTAGCAACAACAGAGAGGTTTGGTGATGGGAAGGTTGAATGTTTAAACTTGACACCAACATGACATTGAGTTGCGTTTTCAGATATAACTTTTGAGAATACCATGCAAGAGCTATAGAAAAAAGAAAAGGAAAAACTTTTCTGCATTTGTTTCAGGCTGATCAGCCCTGATGTTTCAAAGTGTTGTCAGAACTCAGCAAAAGTACCTTATGCATGATACTGGGGCTTACCCTATTGTGTGAAGCCAGTCTGTGTTTATGGCCAACACAGGACAACAGTCCGAACTTTAATATAAACCAGCAGAAGACAGTGTTGGAGGAAGTCAGCATTTGGAAAGATAAAGGAAGAAAGAAACTGGATGATGCGAGTGGTAGTTCTCATTTAACTCTTTTTATGCTTTAAATCAGCCAGTTTTCATCTGCGTCTGGATAGTCTCACCCCCCTCCCCTGTTTTGTCTGACTCAACAGGCATGGAAAGCAACTTTTCCTCCTTGCCTTTTGATGGAAAAGAGCAGCTTGGCATCCAGCGATGCCGTTGCCCGAGTCAGCGAGGGCATCTTCCTCATGATGGCTTGGGGCTCCCTACTGATTAGACTAACCCTCTAGTCAGCTGTGTCATCTGCAGTGCTAATTTAAAGGCCACGGTAATGTCACCCAACAGCTGAACAGAGGCTGGGAAAGAGAATCTCTTTAAAGCTGATTTTTATCTGCACTTTATTAAATTTTTCACAGATATTTACATCCTGCCAAATAAACAAGCAAAGCCATGAAGCGATATGTCCAAAGTATTCAAAACCTCAGATGTCTTTTTAAATCTCCCTTCATGGGCACTGGCCCAAAGCCAATCTTCATCTCTCCATAGGAACTTTGCTTTAGCTTACATGTTTTTCCCATTTCTAAAAAACAGACTTTTGTAATCCTTTGAAGTTTATAGTGATAATATTTAACACATTGCTTCAAGCCAGAGAAAATAAAATATCCTAAAATAATAATAGCATTTGCAGTCATATCTACTTGAAATTAACTTTTAGGACTGCAAAACAGAAAAAGCAGTGATTATCTACATTTAATTAAATATGCCAGGTTTTGTGTGTGCATGTGCTGTTAAAAAACATCTGCTTCATCCTAGTGAGGAACAGAGGAAAAATTCCTTGGGACAAAGATGCGTTACTTACTCTTCAAGTCAAAGATAGTTCTGCCATGGTGGGTATTCCACATTCAGCTGTATCATTAGCATTTCCTACTGTATTGCAGCTCTCCTTTGCCCCCTCGTCACTCCTTGCCACTGCAGCCAAAACTCCACTTTGCCTTCTATGAAGTCATGTTATATTGGGGATTAGGAGAACATAACAGGGTAAGACTTGCCAACAGTGGGTTGGATCCGGGTTTAATTGTGTGGCTCTTTGGTTGTGTGCAGAGCCCTCCAGTCCCAAAAACACACTACAGAGAGGGCTCCTTTGAATGGGGTGTGCTGTGTTCCTCCAGAGGCATATTATGTAACTGGAGCACTTTCACCAGTGAAAGGCCGATCCTGGGTAGAAACCAATGGCTATAAATGCCCAAACCCTTTGCCACATACAGTGGGATTTTCAGACTTTTTCTTTGAAAAGCATAACCTTTTGCTTTGCCTGAAAGTTCTTCTAATAAATGGCTCACTCATTTAAAATGTGTTGACCATGTTAGCATAGAAGGTTACTGTCGGAGAGGTCTGAGCCCAGACTCCCCTTGGGTGAGCTGAACTAGTCACTCTGATCTTTAGAATCTTGCCAATGTTTGTGCTGAATGTCATATGGAAAAGTGAATCTTAGAATATTAAGATGTGACATGAATCTTGAAGGGGCATTGTTCACATACATGCCGTAATGGTTTGGTGCCTACGTAAATGGTGCCTCTTGCCTCGAATGAATGGCCCTTCATAATAGCCAATTGCATCTGAAGGATCCATTCAATACAAATATTATTGTTTTGTTTTACACCTTGTTGTAACCCACCCAGAGAGCTGTGACTACAAGGCAATATAGAAATGAAATGATGATGATGGCGATCATGATGATGATGATATTGCGTGTAAGATTATGTTGTTCAGGTGTTCTACCTTTAATTGATTTGTTGGTGTTTTTTAAATTAACTAATTTACAGGTGAGGTCCTCTAGGTTTCCAAACATTGGGTTGTTGTTGGCAAATGCTACAGAGATAGCTCATTTCCACAGATCTGCATTCATAAGATACTTCCAAACATTATTTCTTGTTTATCAAGTGGAAGCCTATAAACTACTGCTGTCAGTTCTCACTCCAGTTCTCATTCCACTTGTTTCATCCTCCTAGGTTTCCCAGAAAATCAAAAGCAGACCCACAGAGAGTGTCTTGCAGTAATGCAAATCAGATATAGCTAAGCCATGTGTCACCATGGCCAGATCAGACACTTTCTCTCTGTCCTGCAAATATTTGATGTGCATATGGGAATAATTTCTTATTTAAACAGGCATTTGCTTATAGAGCTGATTTTTCCCTCTATTGCTCTTTATGTTAACCTATATTTTAATTTAATGATGCTTTCACTAGTTGCTGTGTTTATATAAAATATAATGTGTTTGCATTTGATTTTAGTTGGTTTTATATGTTGCTTTTTAAAATCATAGATCCATTAGCTGAGTCAGGCATATTTTATGGAAAGATAGAATATGAATATAATAAGCTAAATGCTACATTCTTAAATACATAATGTATGTATATATGCATGGGGTGCTTGAAATAGACCTTTTCAGCAGGCAAATTTGTACTCAGAACAAATACGAAGCTTCGGCAAGGGGCGGCATAGAAATGTTTTAATAAATAAAATAAATAAAAATACCTTAATAATTTCCTGGAGTGGACATCTCTTGCACATCATTCTACCAATGTCATTGATCAATGAGGTGATCAATACACAGGAGAGAATTCTACATCCTTAAAAGAAAGTGATGTTCCTGCAACATTGGAAATCTTGCAAATACACATTTAAGTGTTTATCCTTTAAACAGATTCATTGGGGTGGCCTTCTTCAAGCGAATGCCTTCCAGATGAGTTGGACTGCAATGCTCATCACCATCAGCCAGCTGGGTGTCTCCCAGCTGAGACATCACACTCATCACATGGGCTGTAAAAGCTATTGTCTGTCCTCACCAAGTCAGAAGGTCTTTACAGAGTGTCCTGACTTTACAAGCTAAACAGGTGAAGTTATCTCTGATGAAATAATCTGTGGTAGGCACATAGAACTGCAGGATCTAAGATAAGCTAAGGCACCTGAATGTATTGTCAGTTCTGGAAGCATAGTGGGACAAGCTTTAGAATGGACAGGATGAATGGAAAGCATGGAGCAAACATACACAGGTAAATGCATAACAGGCAAATTGAAGAAGCCATAGTGCATCTGGATGACTAGCCTTGTCTGATGGGCTACTCAAACTCAGGCCAAGAAGTGTGTCAGCTCTAGAACATCAGCAGCAGGAATCTACAACTGCAGCACCAGGACCAGGGGTGATGGAGATCGTAGCATAGGCAGGGCCAGAAGTGAAGACAGAGTTGAAAGCAGGCAAATGTTAGATACTAGCGAGGCATGGCAGGTGCAGAGGTAAATGTGAAGAGCAAGTAAAGGTCAGAGACAGACAAAGCCAGGCAGAACTAGGCATGGTCAGGAAAGACAGAGAGCAGGTTCAGGGTCAGAAACAGGTGGCAAGACCCGGAAAAAACTATTGTGCTGCCATGGCAAAACTAGGCAGGCCTGAGTGGCCTCCAAAGCACCTCCTATGGATTTCATTTGGTTTTCATGCTTGCAGTGGTTCTACAAGCTGCAAATACTTGCAAGTAAATCAGGCTTCCTAGTCTGCCAAGCCACAAGGAGGAGCTGCGCTACTCTGCAGATCCTGACAGTCTATGTTGAGAAAAAGCAGCAAGCTCTCAGTGCTATATAATGCCTCTTTGCTTCTCTGATGACCTTCCCCAACCTGGTGCTTTCCAGATGTTTTGATCTTCATCTCCCATCACCCTTGGCACCATGGCTAAATGGTCAGGAAAGGTCTGGGTATGGTAGTCCAAAACGTCTGGACAGCACCAGGATGGGGAAGGCTGGTTTATGCCACCATCCAAGCAAGATATCTTGTTAGCTTCCAATGTTTGGCACTGCTCTAAGGAAGTAACAAAGTTACTTATTTGTAGCTGCTGTTTGAGGAGTCCTTTGTGCAGGCACCTGTCCTCTGCAGATACTTATTTTCTCAATTCAGTAATGGTCAATCCTGAAACTGTCAAAGGAGAAATTGGGCACCATTCTTACTTCTCTAAGCATGCAAATTAATCAAAGGGGCAAAGATTGTCAGGTATGGTTTGAAGA